AGCACCAGAACTTATTAGATACTTAAGTTACCTATCAGCACCAGAACTTGTCAGATACTTTAGTTACCTATCAGCACCAGAACTTATTAGATACTTAAGTTACCTATCAGCACCAGAACTTATTAGATACTTAAGTTACCTATCAGCACCAGAACTTGTCAGATACTTTAGTTACCTAGCAGCACCAGATCTTGTCAGATACTCTAGTTCTTAAGCAGCACCAGAACTTATTAGATACTTAAGTTACCTAGCAGCACCAGAACTTATTAGATACTTTAGTTACCTAGCAGCACCAGAAATTGTCAGATACTCTAGTTATTAAGCAGCACCAGAAATTGTCAGATACTCTAGTTATTAAGCAGCACCAGAACTTATTAGATACTTTAGTTACCTAGCAGCACCAGAACTTATTAGATACTTTAGTTACCTAGCAGCACCAGAACTTATTAGATACTTTAGTTTGAAAACAACACTAGAACTTGCAGTACGCTTACGATTTTCATCCACGCCCCTCTTTAATAAATTAAGTTTCTTGCGCGCTCATATTTGTTTTTTAAATAAGTAATGAAATGTAGCACACAGATACGCATTAAAATGCTATATGTGTTGAGTAAGTACTTATTATTTTCATTCATAAAAACATATTAAAAAGCTTAACTTTGCATTATTGCACGAGTGACTCTAACCTAATCGCTCGCGCCCCCTACCTAGAAAGGGTGAGCTTTGGGAAATGCTCGTTTAAGTAATTTATGTGTTATTTGGTTTAATATGTTGTTTTAATATACGAATACTCAGTAAGTTTGTGTTCAAGATCATTTCTCGTGAATTACTCTAGTATGCTCCCCCGAGTAAATGAAGGGTTCTTGATACTCAGTAAGTTTGTGTTCAAGATCATTTCTCGTGAATTACTCTAGTATGCTCCCCTGAGTAAAGGAAGGGTTCTTGATACTCAGTAAGTTTGTGTTCAAGATCATTTCTCGTGAATTACTCTAGTATGCTTCCCTGAGTAAAGGAAGGGTTCTTGATACTCAGTAAGTTTGTGTTCAAGATCATTTCTTGTGAATTACTCTAGTATGCTTCCCTGAGTAAAGGAAGGGTTCTTCAATGCTTGTGGTTCTTCTCTCTTCGGTATAAGCTTTCCTAAGATTGTTTAGGAATATTTTTCTGCGATCTGAAGGCATTGTTTTTGTATCTCTTTATATGTCTTCAAACAAACAGTTCGGATTTTTTCTACCACAAAACATATTTTTGAAACTATATCCTAATGTAAAGAAATACGAATTACTTATACTGTTCTTTAGTTCTCGGGAGAGATTTGTCGAGTTAATACTACATGCTTTAAAAAAAATACACCAAAAAACAATTAGTTATATTTTACGTATGAACAAAATATTGTTTTCTTTCGCGTTGTTACATAACGCTTAAATTATTTAAAAATTCAAGTGTTTAAATAAACGGTAAAGAGTGAAAACGGTTGTATAATAAATATTTTGGGCAATAAATATAACTAACACAAGAGAAAAAGACTTTGCTTCCATCTGGGGTCAAAAATATAAACTATTTAACCAAATCATTATATATTACACTAGTCTTAGTGCATTTACATATCACAACACCAAATCCAACTTTACTAAGCAGTGGTTTAATAAAATATTCTTAAAATTGTAATTTATTAAGTGATGTTTTACGTTTTTTCACATTTGCTTTTGTGTTTTTGTGGCGTTTACTAGTTTCTTGAAAATGTATTAATATTACATTTTATTAAATATTTTTCTAGCAATGTTTTTATTATAATATTTATATAAAATGACTTTTCGAGTACAGTGTTTAATACAGTAGGTTATTAGATGGTGTTTATCAAAGTAAGTTTGCTTTTTTATTAAACAGTATACTCCATAAATTTTACACTACGTTCTGTGGTATACATTAATATTCTATTAATTGAGTGATTTTTCTAATCAAATTTCCATTGTTGTGTGTATAGAAGCGGGGCTTTTTAATTGTTTCAGTCCTAAGATTTATAGGCCCAGCATGGCCAGGTGGTTGGGCCGTTCGACTCGCAATTTGAGGGTCGCGGGTTGTAATCCCCATCCAACCAAACATGCTCGCCCTTTCAGCCGTGGGGGCATTATAATGAGACGGTCAATCCCACTATTCGTTTGTAAAAGAGAAGCCCAACAATTGGCGGTGGGTGGTGATGACTAGCTGCCTTCTCTTTACTCTTACACTGCTAAATTAGGGACGGCTAGCGCAGATAGCTCTCGTGTAGCTTTGCGCGAAATTTAAACCAAACCTAATATTTATTGATTGGCGTATTAATTCTAGATTATGATTGATGTTTTACTGTTACGTTTAGTGATGGATGTTTTATTAAAATGTTTTAAAACTATCTTTTGTGAGCTTTCTAATCTACTTGTGTTTGTTTGACATAGTTTTAACACCCCTGAGCTCAGACTGTTATGTTATGAAATTAATTTATAATTTAATTTTCACTTCATCAGAACAGTGGGAACAAATTTCAGAGGTATCATTTGATATATTTAACTTTTATGGTTAAAACAACATTAGGTATTAACTTGTTAAAATTTGCACGTTTAGATTCTTCTAAAAGTACTCACATATCGCAAACAAATTTCTACATTTCAAAATTATTTAAATAAATGATGTTTGTTATTAAGCATAAAACTACACAATTTGTATACAATATGTGCTCTGCCCACCACATGTATCGAAACCCGGTTTCTAGAGATATAAGTCCGCCGGCAGACATACCGCTGTGCCACTGAAGATGGGGTGGGGGGCTAAATAGATGAATACTGTCGAGATGAGCAGAACAGATTACCGAATGACGTCAAATTCTTGGAACGTAATCAAGTTGGAAA